GTCATATCAGAAACAATAATGATTATGGATGCCTTTTTTGATCAGCAATGTCTATTCGGGAACAGTTGGTTTCACATTCCATGCTTGTACGTCTGGTTATGTGTAACCTTACATTTGCATGCAATTCCTAGCCATGCATATATGGCATCGTCCGAGGTACGCAGTCTTTGACTTGTTGTGCTGTAGCTTCCGTGTTTAGGTGTAGCAGTTGCTTCTCTAGCGAGGAAACCTGGTTAGTTAGGCAATTTGAGCTCACTGGTTCCTCATTTGATTGCATTCTCTCCGTATTTACAGAATCTAGCATCATAAATGTTCTTTGCAGCTTAAAATATATGATTGTTTTTCTTTCAAAACTACTATCTTAATAAATTATATCTTAATAAATTATGATTCGTGATTCTATAAAAAAAAGCACAATAATATCTCTAAATTTGGAAGTTGGGATCATTCCTTGCTAGTATTCTCATTTTTATGCTTTCATTTGTGATCAGCAAATTAAACTTTAGCAAGCAGGTTGTGGTATTAGTATTTTGTCAACTTACGATGTCTACAGATGGTTTGGTCCGATTATTTTGGTTAATATAAAATAAATAAATCATGGATCTTAAGCTCTGAACTGGAAAGAGCATTCTAGCAAATAAATTGCTGGGAATGATGGTTCGACTCCATCAAGATCCTTTTTTTTTGGTTTTGGAGTACATTTTCAGTTATGTACTCCCAAGTTGATAATATACTCCAGTAAGGATTGATGAAAATTTAACAAACAACATCTCAGAATGTTCTAACTTTATTTTTATTCTTTATGGCTTTGGTTGAGTTGGGACAAGATGAGACCTGCAAAGTACAAATGTGGGATTGGATTTTGCGACATGAGGGCCTTCAACCAAGCTTTGCTAGTTTCTTGAGAACTTTCAGATATGAAACTTTGGGAGGGCTCTATGAGGAAACTTCCAAAAGAAAGCTTTCTAGTTGTCCTACGGTGGGCCTTGGTTCAATCTTGTCCCAATGTGGGCCTTGGTTCAATCATGATCTCTTACAAGAAGAAAATAATATCCAAATTTGATATTTCACAGGAACGAACCCTAGTTGCCCGATCTTCACGAATTGAAGGTGAATTCGAGGAGGAACACAAAAATAGTGACGAAGGACGAATAGAAGTTAAGTTAGGGCAGGCTTTGGTCGCTCGCCGCTGGCAACGCCGCAGGCGCTGATGTGCCGACTTGCACCCTGCCTGCATCGGACAAACTAAGGTAGGGCGGCCACCATTGACGAAGAACACGGGGAAACGTGGAGAAATCAAAGGGAGAAGGTTCTATTGGACAAGATCCACATCAGGTAGTCCTCAAATCACAAGCAATACTTGAGGTGCATCAAAATCTAAGAACAAGAGAAATAAAGATACAAGGGTAGTTCTTGAGAGGTAGTTCATCCAAATCTTTTGGAGAGAAGGGGCTTGATGATGCACTTGAGGAATCTTTCTCTGAAGAGGTCTTGCTAACCATAGATGATTATTCTCCTAAGAGGTCTTGAATTCACTCATGTATCTACTCCTAAGGGCATTTCCAACAGGTTGTATGTTAGTCTTGTTGGTAAAATGTTCATGTCATCAACCAACAAGCTATCATACAACTACTCCAAATGTGATTGATCTCTATTTCACCTTGGAGCTTGTGCAAAGGTTGTTGGTTAATCTATATACAACTTTGCTCTCTCTTCACATTTATTACATGCCACATCATCATTATGTCCTAGGTGGAAAATTTATCAACACCTATCTTACAATTGTTGGAGATGCCCTAAGAGGAATCCCACTAGGGGAGGTAGATGAGCTAAGCTCTCTTATTTCTTTCTATTTTTAGCTAACCCTAAAATTGAGAAGGGACGTCTATTTAGTGTTAGGGGTGAAAGGGATACATGGGTCGAAACCCTAGTTGTTGAGTGCAGGACATACGGTAGGTATAGGACTTTGCTTCTGGGCGCCTGACACCGGATTTTGGGCACACATCAGATGTACGATTGGAGGCGCACACATCGAATGTCTGGTCCATTCGAAATGTCCTGGCATGTCTAGTCTTCGGGCACTTCTGGTGGCTCATCTTCGCGTGGCACCGGATGTTTGGTGGTTCTCTACTTGATGCTCCTTCTGTCGCTGCTTCCAAGCTTCCTTCACGAATGGTGTAGATGTTCTCTTATGCTTGCATTCCTCGTCATTCATGAAGCTTCACTCAAACCTATACGTGCATGATGGAGGGTCAAGTAGTATACCATCCTTGAAGGGACAGAAAGACACGTGTAAAAGAGGAAATACACCTTTATATGTTTGAAGTAGAGGTTGCATGTGTCTCTTACAAAGGGGCTCTCGACATGGTGATTTCCATAGGACGCTCCGCGTCATGGATGGTTAGGTACATGATATGGATTATCTTTTTCAATGCGGTAAAATAAAATGACATCATGTCTACTTTTCTTTACTATTCCAATTTTTTTAAATGGATAAGAGCCAACTAGTTTGATTTTCTATATCTCTAACCCACGAGCTTTCTTAATCTTATACATTTTTCCTTCCTTTTTCTTATAGTTGTACATACAATTATATATGTATGATATGATAAACTTTCTATGGGGTGACATAGACATCCAAATAAGCAGTAGAACTGAGCGACCGGGTCCAGCACCCAGCCGGTTAGTATGTGACCGTTACATTTGCTGTGCGCCCGTTATATTGCACAAGGGGTCGTTCGATCTCTGTTTACGTCATCCACATGTTACGACATGCGCAAGTGAGAGGAGAAAAATCCCCTCCCTGTCCTCGAGCACTAGATAGCTACATGTTTGTGGCTCCTCGTCCCGCACCCTCCTCCAATGAGCCTCCGGGAGCAGCCCATGGTCGCCTTTCGAGGAGCAGCTCACGACTACAGCCTGCCGTAGCTCATGGGCACTTGCCATGGTTACACCTTCCTGCGGGCTGGTTGCAGCTTCACCGATGGAGGTTGCAACTTTTCCACTGCTTGGTCGCAGCTCCACTGACGAGGGTTGCAACTTCTCCCGTGGACGACGACATCACCGTGTCGCGTTGTTCCGAGCACCGTGCCATGCTGGTTCCAACATGTCGTGTCACTGATCATAGCATGCCAATATGTTGGTTGCAACAAACTATTGCAATACACGGTCCCAACATTATCTCCGATTGCAGCTTGCCGTAGCCACCGTCATAGCGTTGCAACAACAACGGTGTCGGTTCCAGCATCCGAACATCGCGGTTATAGCTCACGACCAAGCCGAGTCCAGCAGCACCCATCATTGGATGCAACTCTAGTGGAGCTAGTTACAACATCTTGCATTGGTTGCAACATCTCGGTCACCACCCTTGAAGCTCCCAGCGTGGTCGGTTTCAGCGCTCGTAGAACATAGCCCGCTGGTTGCAACATCATTCTGATCGCCGAGCACCGTTGTCACACTTGCGACTAACTAAAGTCCAATTTCCTTTGATAAAAGAGGATGAAATGGATCAATCGATTCAACTTAGCAATTCATAACTTCAAGCACAACCATCCATCTCAACCCAAAATCTTGGGTCGTCTGTGATCCAAACCCAAACTCTCCTCCGGTTTTGGATATATAGACAATGTCTGCTCTCAAACCAACCAAGACAACAACAAGTTCCTATCAAGCCATACAAACGCACCAACGCGCCACCGGTTGTGGCCTCACCACCCATCTGTAGCAACATCGACGGCTAGAGGGTCTTTAGCTACACGTCATGCCCAGGTAGGGGGGGCATGGTGATCGCGGCATGACTCGGTGGCAGAAAGCACTCCCAGCTCCTTGCTACCCAACTCCTGCCCCTCTCCATTGCCGATTTGGCAGTTGTAGAGAAGAAACAGGAGGAGTGGGTTTCTCTTCCTGATCACTCACATCGACTGTGGCATGCTAGGAGGAGGAGGGAGTCGGAAGACGGTGGCACGCGGGGCGGGAAAGGAGGAGTAGGATGTTGTGGCTGGGCCCAACGTCCGTCGCCTTTGACTTGGTCGCTGGGTAGGGTAGAATCGCTCTCAGGAAGAATATGAATGGGTATATGGGATGAGATAGACCTAGGGAAGAGGGGCGAGAAAAATCTAGAGAAGGTCGCCCACGTGCGTGGGCCCCACAGGTCGCTTGGCGTTCGTGTGAGCGACCTGTAAAGCACGGGACCGGTCGGCCAGAACAAATATTTTCCCTTTTATTTTAAACGAAACAATTCTTTAATACAATAAAAGAAACATTTCAGAATGAAAAAAGATGAAAGTTTTGTTCTTGATCATTTGTAACCCTTTCCTATTTACTCCCTCTGTAAACTAATATAAGAGCGTTTAGATCACTACTTTAGTATTCTAAACACTCTTATATTAGTTTCTGGAGGGAGTGTTAGTTTTGTCTAATGATTAATTAAGAGGGTTCATCAGAGAGCCTTTGGATCCCCACGGGACTCTCACGAGCCCCAAAGAATGGCGTTTGTTGGATTTCCCGGACAGTTTATATGCACGCTTGCTTCGGGCAAAATACTATCCCGATGGGCAACTTTTGGATACTATATTTTCAGGAAATGCGTCGTTCATATGAAAAGGCATAGAGCGTCCCCTAGACATTCATAAAAAAAATCATACAGAGAGCATGTATCTTTCTCATTCTTTCTCTCAAAAATAAATAAATAAACAATTGCTTGTACTTTCTTTTTCAGCGTTTCATTGCCTGTGTAGGGTTTTTTATGACATAGTGTAGGTTGTTTTAGGGGTGTGTAGGTTTTTTTTCATTTGAGAAGATGTAGGTTTTTTTCTTTTGAGCGGGGTTGCCTTCTACTCGTGTACTTTTTTTTTCAGCGTTTCATTGCCTGTGTAGCTTTTTTCTTTTTTAGGAGTAGGCTTTCTACTCGTCGTGGGCTTTCCTTCCAGTGGGCTTTCGATCTCACACCCACCCACCAGCAGTCGCGCGAGCCCCTGTGTGTACGAGGGAGGAGGGCAGAGATGTCGCCGGCGGCGCCGCTGGACGACGAAAACCTACTCGCCGAGATCCTCCTCCGCCTCCCCCCGCTGCCGTCTACCCTCCCCCGCGCCTCCCTCGTCTGCAAGCGCTGGCTGCTCCTCGTCTCCGACATCCGCTTTTTCCGCCGCTTCCGCCGCCGCCACCGATGCAGCCCTCCCCTCCCCGGCTGCTTCGTCCCAGACCGGGGAGGCGTCTCCTACACACCAACCATGGATTCCCCCGACCGTGTGCCCGCCGAGCGCTTCTCCTTGCAGCTCGACGGCAGCTGCTACTCCAATCCCCTCGGCTGCCGCCACGGCCTCGTGCCCATATCCCCCAATCTATGGAAGCAAGTCCTGGTGTGGGATCCCGTCACCGGCGACCAGCACCACATTTCTTTTCCCCCAGGTTTAGACGGGATTGCAAACTCGATCCACGGGGCGGTGCGTCGTGCTGCCGGCGACGGCGAGGTCCACCACTTTCAGGTGATCTTGGTAGGGGTTGTCGAAGTCGACAAACAACATGTGGGAGTGCTTGCATGTGTTTACTCGTCAGATACCGGCGTCTGGGATAATATCATCTCAGTACTGATTCCATTCGATGCATATACTACGAGAGGTATTTTTGCCGTGTGTTTTACGGGCATGTCGGCTGTGCTGGTTGGGAATTCTCTTTACTGGCGTCTTGGTGTGGGTGTGTGGATGCAGTTCTCAAGTTCGATTTGGAGAGGCAGAGTCTAGCTGAGATACAACTGCCAGTGGGTATGTCTGAAGAGGAGCTTCTCCAGTTGACGGTTATGCGGGCTGAGGGTGGTGGACTGGGTTTACTCTACATATCAGGCTTCACCACCCAATTATGGAAGAGGAAGACCGACTGTGATGGTGCTGCATCATGGGGGATGGAAAGAACTATTGAACTGGGCAAGCTGCTTTCCCTGAATCCGGAGAAGGAGAGAGTTCGCCCTTTGATAGAAGGGCTTGCCGAGTACAATAATGTGGTGTTCCTGACTACAGGTGATGGTGTCATCATGCTGCAGCTTGAGTCATTGCAATTCAAGAAATTTTACGAGATGAGCGACGGTTTTTATCATTATCCATTCGAAAGTGTCTATTCTGTAGGTAATAGCATGCCTTTACGTATACTTAATTGTGCTAGCTGTAGTGTTCTGCTGGATGCTTCTGTTGTGGTGTTTTATGTAATGGTTATGACCTGGAAAAAATATTTGTTAGCATTACCTAGTTTAGAAAGGCATGGTGCTGTTTTGGTTATTCTGACATTATTATTTTTTAGTGTCATTACACTGTGTGGTATATGGAAACTAGCTTGAACTGATTAAAACATCAAAGACATAGCCCAATAAGTACATTTGGAAGCTTAAAACGCCTACTTGTGTAATTCAATATTGTTACCTCTGCTAATCTTGCCAACAAGCCTACAGAAACTGAAAGCACATAAATGTGTAGTAGATAATGTTTGGTTGTTCCATAGGGAAAAAACCCTGGAATTTTCTGAATGGTCTGGTGCCATATTTGTAACCCATCTGAAGGGAATATAGTTTCCAAGAGGTTGGAACCACTGGAGATTTTCCTTTGGGATTGCATGCAAAGTAGACAATAGGAAAAGGTCCTATAGTTTCCAACTTCCCATTCCTGTGAGCTTTGCAGGATTTTTTTGAGTAGAATCCTTCAAAATTCCTTTAAACCGAAGAGGCCCTTAGTTGTTTTTCTCAATTTACATATGCGAGTTTAACTAAATATCTTCAGTAAAGCCATGTCATATCTATTTCACTATTTGGCTTCCCTTATGGGTGTCATTGGTGGCTTCAGTGTTTGACTTCTTATGCTTGTAGGGAACCAGCATTGGTAGTGGACATGATGGAGCTAAACTTTTGCACAATACATAAGATGATTGTCTGGGCAGATATGCTATTAAGATTTTTGGTTGAGCAGGTAAGCTTATCTTCTGCATGTAAGTTGACGTTTCTGAAATGTTTGCTCGAAAAAAGATATTGCTTTATTTTTACTAGCATTTCTTGATTACCAAATAGATTACTTTTGGTAGTGCGGGCTCTTCTCCCTCTAGCATCTTAGCTAACTTTGCCGCCTGCTAACCGGGACGTGAAATTGAGATCGCAGGAGATAAATAGGGACCGGAATAGTGACGAAGGTAGATCAAAGAACGGGATATTTCACTCATTCATTTCTCGCCGGTTTTACTGTTGCAGCTTGCTCTTATAGACCAGACACACATGACACTTACAGCTGGGTCCCACTTTAACACACACTGCGCCATCAGTATTTGCTTCCCTATCTCGATGGCGTCCTAACGCCCTTTCTCTGTATTGTCTTATCTGTTTTGGCTGTCTCACCACCTTCAGTTGTTACATTTCCCCTCGGTAGTGCTGTTTAGTACATTGAGATCTTCTCAAGTTGCCAGTTCTTAAGGACTACCAGTCCGCTGGCAATTCCAAGTGATATACCACTGAACCAATTCGCTGCCAAAGTATTTGAATGCCAGCCTCGGACAGGGTCTGTTCACCACTGAAGATTAATCATAACATAAGGCTATAGTTTGAGCAATACCTTCTTGCCCACCTGAAAGGTTTTTGTCTGATCGATACTTGTCAGTGCATTTTCGTTCTGTTCTGCGCACCGGTCAGATGCTGCTTCAGCCGGTCCAGTCCAGCTGCACTTGACATTTTGCGCCCCGCCAAATTTGTATTTTTAGTAACAAATTATCTGAAGGAGTGGTCGAAGTATTGTGTTTTAGGCCTTTTCTGGTGCTAGTGATCAGCCTGCTATAGTTTTTCTTCTCTCTGTGCCCCCTCCCCTTCTGTTCTCCCTAGCTAGCCATGTATAATTGTATATATGTCCTCCGTTCCGAAAAAAGTATATGTATCCTGTCTCTTGCAAATAATCTCTTTTTAATTAAATTTATTGCCGGGGCTTCCCCTACAGTTTCTGCTCAAAAAATTTGTTTTTATGCCATGAAGTGTAAAAATGATGGTGCATATTTTGTATGTTAGGAAGTACTGTATTAATTAATAAAATGATGTATGATCCCTTGCTTGAGGATTTTACATGATAAATTATAATAAATCTTACAAGGGACATGGATGTTCAACCCGGGTCACAGACAAGATTGGTTGATCTTTCGGGCACTCCTGACCAGATAAGCAGAGCTGAGCAGTTGATAAGTGATGTTCTTGCAGAGATACTGTGATATCTTTTTTATGGTCAGGACTTCACATTTAGTTGTGCATCCATTTATTCAACCATACTTGTCATGTGACCTGCAGGCTGATGCTGGCTCATTTGGCACTATCTCTAATTGGAAGTACAATGCACCTCAACCTAGTGCTGAGCAATCCCGGATGCAAATTGCTAACAAAAGGTAAACTGGCTGCTTTCTAGAACTGGGTTTGTTTGTCAGACTTTGAAAATCATACCACGCCCCAATATAGCAATGAGGGTTTCTTCTAAGCTTCCCAGCTGATATTATTTCACGGACTTCAATTTCTCTTTGGTGGTGAAAAACCTTGCATATTAATTCCATGTCTTAACTATTTTTTGGTGAGACTATAAAATCCATGCAGGCCAAATCTGGAGCTTGTATATAGGTTTGAGAAATTTCTTATTGCAAAGTCTAACATAAATTTGTTGGCTGAACCTGGCCTAACTTACTATTGAACTTCGTTAATAACTTAGGACTGAGTGATGTGTTTTGTTGTTGCATTTTTTCATTTTTTTATGATTTATCAAGTAAATTAAAATCCAAGTTCTAATGTTGCTCAACTAGAAGTAGAACTCATGCTCCTTTCATCTTCATAATTATCCGTTTTATTATTCTCCTTTTTCTCCTTGTTAGTTAGTATTATATTTTGTATCATCTTCATCATTACCATTGGTAATAACAAAAGTAAATATTTGATTTGTCCTAAAAAATCCTTCTGCAGGTCATTCCTTTGCATTTGCCTCCTGGTGATACTTCAACTGAAAGAACACTGTATATTGATGGTACTGCAGAGCGAATTGAAATAGCAAAGGTCAGCTTTCTTTCTCTTTTCACGCCACCTCCTAATTGCTGCAGCTATTTGTTATTTATCAGTGTTGTTAAAATCATGTGGGTTTTATTATCAATTTTTTATATGTTACTGTATTTTTTGTTTCGATTTATATTTCTCTACTTGACCTTTCTTTTCCATTGCTTCCTTTTGAAATTCTTCTCTTTAGTTATGATATACCCTACATTCTTGTCAAATGTACATGTCCAAAACGTTATCTCAACAGGTTGCCTTGTAAAACAAGGTGGTCAATTGGTCATGGAGTATATAATTATATTTGTAATTTGTGCAGTCTCTTTGTTATTAGCTGCTATGCTCTGTGTAGTCTCTCTGATGAAAGATACTAGAAATATTTGAACAATCACAGTTAAATACTGGCAAATCCATACTTCCATTGGGAGGTTTATATACCCTATCACAACATCTTCACTACATATCATACCGGTGCTTGTGGTGTTATCCATATATCCCAGGCTATACTGTCTGTTGATCATTATCTTGACATAAGGCCAAATTAGTGTCAGTAACTAGTTCTGACGGTTGCACACATCAATCCTGGAGGCAGATTTGTTACTATCTAATGTTAATATACTTGATGCTGATGGATAAAAGATAAAATTATGAACTACTCCCTCTGTTTCAGTGTAGAAGTCCCATGTGTACTATTGGAGTATACCATTAGAATATAATACATACATCCAGGACATGCCTGGTCTTTCTATATCGAAACAGAAGGAACTAGCTTGTATTTGGATTATATGATTGGATTTCATATACCTGGTCTTGTCCTATCAAATTTGCATTTGCTATTTCTGTACATCTTTGGGGATAGTAGGTGCAAACCTCTATGCAGGTGATCAGTCTGCACACTTCAATGATGGATCGTGCACTGTAGTAGCTGGTATTTAGGCTATTGATATTTTTGCTCACTCAGGGGATAATTCTTGATGCTTAATTTTCAGCCCATTCCATCTGTTGCTAACACCACCCTCTGGGAGCAACATGTAACAAATAAGAATGTTACTGTTTATTGACCGGGCAAGAAAGTTTGTATGTGCTATGTATAGTTTGGAAAGATTATGCAGGATATCTCGCATGAATCTATCTTTGGTATTTTTGTATATATTTTCTCCCTCTGTTGACTTTTCAGGTTACCATGACCGAAGCTTCCTTAAAACTTTGCTTAAATATTTCCTTTGACATTCTTCTGTTCACCTATAATATATTTTTGGAGACTTGCTGAAAGAACTGCTGTTGTGTATGTTGTGTCGTTTAGCAATATATAAGTAGATGTTGCACATAATTATGGATCACTCTTTCACCATCCATTATTGCTGATTTATCAACATCTACAAACTGCAAGGTAATCTTTTATTGCTATTCAATATATGCGTGTGTTTATCTAGCCGCCCAATCTTCATTAGCTCCCATAGTTTTGCACATGGTAGACGCTAGATGGGCATCACCAATGTTGCTTGAGAATCTTGCTCGGTGAGTTGATCCCTCCATTTTTCTTGGTGGTTCTGGAATTTCTGTATATTACATTGCTTTGTTTTTGGATATGTTTTGTCTGATTTGCACTTGTTCTGCATGGTACATTGTATGTTGTGTTCTATACATATATATTCTGATGTGCAAACTATATTTCTGCAGAGTCATGCCAGAAATCCAACAGGGCTACCACCCTCCCCGTCCTCGGGCAAACTGGGGTGTGCCTGATGCACCAGCAACACAACAGCCTGTTTACATGCAGCCTGGAGCTTATCCTGGTGCACCACCATAGTATGGCCAGCAACCTTATGGCAGAGCAGCCCCCTGGCACTATAACCAACAGCAGCAACCCCAACAACAACAGTATGCCACTGGAACTGCTGCACCTGCTCATGCTAGCAGCTACAATTAAGCCAGTCTGCTACTCATGCTTCACAAGGGTATGGTGATTCTACGTACTCTCAGCAGAGTGGCAGGCAGCAAGCTTATGATTACTCTGGTTATCAGACCCAAGGGCTGTCTTACTCGCAGCAGCCTGGATATGACCAGCACGACTATGGGGCATCTGGCTACATCGATCAGCTGCTAACTCAATTCAGGGTGGTGGTACTGCACCGAGCTATGGTGGTCCAGGTCAGCAAGCTTCAATGCCAGCCACTGGATGCCAACCGGGTTATCCTAATCAACCACCTATACTACTGCTGCTGCATCAAGCTACATGACGCAAGGTTCTGCCCCTCAAACTGGATACGTTGCTCCACAGACACAGCCTGGCTATGATATGCAGCCACCACCACAGGCCACGTATGGCCAGGATGCTTATGGGTAGCCTTCGCATGCTCCAGAAGCCGCCTTCATCTGTTCCGTATGGACAGGCAGCACCTACTCAGGCTGGTTATGGGCAGTATGGACACAGTCAGCCAGGCTATGGTGCACCGCCGCCTTCCCCTGGTGCACCCACTGCTAGCCAGCCAGGCTATGGCCAGTAGCAGTCATACTGTGATCGTTATGCTACTGGTAGCTATGGGCTGCCTGCAGCGTATTGTATTGAAGTTACAACACCTGTTGCGTCGCAGGATCAATCCACCGCCGGGCCTGCTCCTGCTAATGGTGCCCCCCCCCCCTCCCAAAAAAACCTCTCCGAATTAATCTACCTGCTCCTGCTTCAGCTGCAATCTGGTTTCCTTGGCTCTGCCACTTGAAGTAATATCCTCTAGTTTATCCATATTATCTTATTTGTTATTGCTTGATTGTGAACTTTATATATTGCTTGATTATCCTGGTTGTGCTGCTCATGTGTGGCTTGTGTGGT